TTCGGGAGCCGCCCGTCCGGCTGCCTTGCCAATGCTCCCGCGAACAGTATGCNGCCGTGTCTTTCGGTGCCGGGATTCCGAGACAACATGGATCGGTTTTCGTTGATCCGTAGTCGGCCCCAAACGCCTTCAGGTCGTCGAGCACACACTTCGGCCAGTTCTGTTCCTGTCCCCCCCAACGTCGCTTCTCCCCCCCTGCCAGTTCGCCGAACATCAGTCGTTTCGGGAGCCGCCCGTCCGGCTGCCTTGCCAATGCTCCCGCGAACAGTATGCGTCGTTGTCGGATCGTGGCTTCAACACTCTGGCATTCGACCCTCTTCAGCGTCTGGGCGTAAGAGAGCTGCCGGTAGGTGTCTTTCTTGCGCTTGTACCCGATAACTCGAAGGAGCAGTCGGTGGTGTATCGACCGCAGCATCTGATAGTGGCCGCTGAGTGGTGACCATGTCATGCAGCCGTACAGCAGTGATGCTGGAACGGTTTGAAACTACAACACGTCCGGACGGAGTAACTATGCAGTGTATAATGAGTGTTGTATGAGCATGACATGGACATTATATTCCAAGGATGCATAGAGATATATATATGTAGCTGTAGAATTGTCCATCGATCAATTTTTCAGCAAATAATGGCTGAATGAAAGTACGACGTTCGTTCGAATTTTCCGTCATGATGGTCATGAAACTTTCAAGGTTGTGCTGGGTGAGGTACATACCCGGGAACAATTTGGGTATTTGTCGGGTATGTACCCATACCCAACGTTTAGGTACGTTGGGTATGACTCTCGTACCCGTACCCAAAATCTGGGTACCACACCCACCCGTACCCATACCCAAAATACCCATACCCACGCATCATCTACCCGGGTTACCCGGGTACGGGTACGACTCTCGTACCCGTACCCAACATTTGGGTACGTTGGGTACGACTCCCGTACCCGTACCAGCGTGTAAGGGAGTGGCTACAGCAGTCGAAACGGGCATTTACGCCACCTGGACGGATATGTGACTGAGCTCGAAGAAATCTACAAAGATCGCGACATGCGAGGACTGTACCAACACCTCAAGAGGTCAGTGGGCCTCAGCGGGAGGCAAGCGGGGAGACATCAGTTCGTCGCGGATGAGAACGGCGTGTTGCTCCGGAACAGGGACGACATCCTCCAGCGGTGGGCGAGATTCTTCAGCACCCTACTCAACACCAAATCCCCCACCCTGAAGCCAGACATCATCGAGCGAGTGACGCAGCGGCTAGCGACACGTGACACTCAACGGTTGGGAGATGTGCCAGAACTCGAGGAGGTGGCACGGGCAACGAAAGGCCTCAAGAACTGGAAGGCACCCGGCCATGACTCCATCCCTGCCGAGTTGCTCAAGATCGATGACGACGAACCCTTCGTCCTGGGACACCTCCATACCATCCTCGTCAAGGTGTGGAACGGAGGAGATATTCCGCGAGAGTGGAAGGACGCAACCATCAAGGTGCTGTACAAGAAGGGTGACCGGTCCAACTGTAACAACTACAGGGGGATCTCGCTACAATCTCACGTAGGACAGGTCCCCATCAAGATCATCACCAACCGTCTAAGCGCCTTCTACGAAGCCAACAACATCCTCCCGGAGGAACAATGCGGATTCGACCCGGGCGATCCTNCAAGAAGGGTGACCGGTCCAACTGTAACAACTACAGGGGGATCTCGCTACAATCTCACGTAGGACAGGTCCCCATCAAGATCATCACCAACCGTCTAAGCGCCTTCTACGAAGCCAACAACATCCTCCCGGAGGAACAATGCGGATTCGACCCGGGCGATCCTCCGTCGACACGCTGTTCGTCGTGCGCCGCCTCCAGGAGCTGGGGCGGAGAAAGAAAATACCGCTCTACATGTGCTTCGTCGACTTGAACAAGGCGTATGATTCGGTAGACCGAGAGATGCTATGGAAGGTGCTGGCCAGGGGCGGGATCCCCGCGAAGCTGATCGAAGTCATCCGCCGATTCCACGATGGAATGCGGGCCCGGGTGCGCATGGACGACGGAGAACTATCGGACTGGTTCTTCGTGATACAGGGAGTGCGACAAGGATGTGTGCTATCTCCACTGCTGCTGTTAAACATCTTCTTCGCCGAGGTCCTCGAGGTCGTTGTCATCCGATTCAGCGAGGATGATGTTGTTGTGCGGAGCCTAGTGTGCTTGGAGGAGGGGAAGACGGAAGCGGGGGGTG